GTGGCAGTAGATGAAAAGTTAAGAGATCACCAAAGTTATTAAAATGCATCCTGAATGTTTGCAGCAAATTTCATGAGAATCCATCAAAATATTTGAGTCTGGACCAAATTGGTGGACGGCCCAACAGACTGACACTGCAACCCCTGGTAGCTTGACTAAAAACATAATTAAAGCCCACATATTTTTTTACAAAACTTGACTTTCTAGACATTTTAAGGCTGATTACAAGGGCTTCATTACCTGTGCTAGAGGACAGGGTGTGGGCGGCAGCTGCACCTCCAAGTGCAACTGAGCGATGGACATGTTAGCGGCTCCGCCCACCGCCGCCTGGAAAAGCCTCCTCCGGGTGGTGCAGGTGTCTGTGAGGAACCTGGTGAACTCGTGTCGGTGCACAGAGGTAAGGCTGGGCAAACACTCAGACAGCACGTCTCTCAGCAAGGACGATAGCTTGGGTACGACGAGACCTGATGGACAGAAGACGGAAAATAAAGTCCAGGAGCCAGGAGAGGAGTCTTATTAAACCAAATAACTTTAATAATTATAATACATTAATAATACTGCATGAAGAATGTTTTAATAAGACACACAGGGAATGAATCACTGGAGATGACTCACAAATTTGGGCTCCAGGCTTGAAAAAGAACATCTAAACTACATGATCACCACTGACAGGCTTTCATATGAGTGTTGTGTATCATTAGTGCAGAATGGTTCGCCCCAATACACACTATTCCAACAACTTCCAACACTGCAGGCCATCAGGAAACACAGCGCTCTCTCTGACATTAAAGGTCCTTGATCATGACCTCCAGGTGAGGCACCGTGTCACCTGCAAGGCCTCTGTACACACACTGCACGCCGCTTTTTGCTCTGACCGTCCAGCTGTGGGAAGATGCCTTTGGCGGTCTCGGCTGCCCGGATCACGTCGGGCCAGGGGAAGCCACGGGCCGCGGCGAACATGGCGACGTCATACACAAACTCCTGATGGAAGCAGCGCCGTTCATCGCAGAACTCGGGCCACGGGAAGTGACAGCTGAGCCTCTGCACACCAGCCTCTCTCTGTCACAGGCAGGCATACAGACACAAAAACACACTTCATTTGTGCCACAAGTTAAAATACAATAGGGTAAAAAATAAATACTCCATTACAAGCAAAAAGTAAAGTCACATTTTTACTGTAAGTACAGAAATATGATCAACAAAGTTATCAAAAGTAAACTATTTAGATTTTACGTATATTATATTTAGTACATTTTCTGTTTTGGGTTTTATAGTAGTAGATGCTCATTGTGTACATAGATTTCTAGTTTTTATTGGTTACTTATCACTTATTTATCATGCAAATGTTCTTTCTTTTGCTGCCTTTTCCTTGCGTGGGATCAATACACTTTATTTTACCTTATACAGTTGTGTGGTTTGTATCAGTGCATCTGATTATATTTGTTATTATATTATATATTAATTTGTGATCTGCAAAGTAACTGTAACAAATATAGTGCTTGAGTTACAAGTACTTTATTTTGAAATGAAGCGGAAGAGAGGTATAAAATAGAATTAAATGTAAATACTCAGTATTTAAGCAAATGTAGGCCTACCTACTGGGTTTAACTTCACAGTACAAAACACGTATGAATCGCATTAATGTACCTGGAAGCCTTAATGTAAAACTAAAAAGTGGGGAGGGGGAATACTCCAGCTGTCATTCAGGGTTAGCTCTCTCGGTCGGGTATTTCACATTTGGGTCGACTTTGTTGGTGTTGTAAAGTTCCTGGCAGCATTTGAAGGCGCCACAATAACTTCCTCCTCATTACTGACTCAGTCTGAACTGCAGCTGTTAATTGGACGCCCGCCTACCTGCTGCCTCGCTATCTGTGCCATCTCACTCCCTGTAAGGGAATCCATCCTCGATAAGCGACACAAGGGCTCTCGGTTGCCGTGGGAGACGGACGCGGTGGCGTAGGCGGGGGCGGGCGTCAACGTGGTTACGTCACATACACGTACGACGTGGTAGCGGCTGGTGGAACGACCGGATACATATTTTATTTTATTTTGTTTAAAGAGTATTTTTATTTCTACTTAGTGTCCTAGGAAAGTTATCATACAATACCATATTTTATTTTATTTCATTTTATTTCATTT